CAGCCCGCACGCGCGAGCACTTTGTACAACATTGAGACCCCTCATACAGGGTGGTATTACGTATACGTTTCGTATTTTTATGAGGTCACGTCATGTGCGGCCGTCCGGCCCGCTCCGCCCCACCGCGCCCCACCCACGACCGCCCCGCCACGCCACTTGAGGCCCTTGGCGCGATATTGAGCTTGTGGACGTCGTATTTCATTCGCCCACACGACCTGCTCGCCCACACACCCCCCGCAAAATGCAGACGCGGCTGTTCGTAGGTTCAAACACCACCGGCCCGCAGAGTGCGGGCGTGTTTTTGAGGTTAAGTTTGTCGGAGGCGGGCGAGCGGGTGCTGCTGTCGTGTCGTCGTGGACTGGATATCGGCTTTTCTATGTTCACTCCGATGAGGCTGCCGCTTGCGCCGTCTTGGTTTTCGCCTCTTATCCTCCCCGCCTCATGGGGAGGGAGAGGGCGCCACGTGCGCCGCCGATATGACGGGGGTTTTTACACGTGTCCATGCAAGTAATGCGAAAGATATTGCCAGCTGTGCATGTCAAACTGCGTATGTAAAGCGGCGTTCGCCTCTTTAAAAGCAATTAAATACAACTTATTCAATCCGCGCGACGCTCTACTTCTCCCCAGCCTTGCTCCTTCTTTCTCTCTCTTTCGCTCTCTATCTCTGCAAACCCAAGGAACTATATCACAGGGGTAAAGTGGCGGCGCAGGAAGCCCTCTGCTCGCGGCCCGGCGGACCAAGCGCAAAGTTTGTGCGAGACTTGCTAGATTATGAGAAAAAGAGAGAGGCGAGAGGGGAAGGGGGAAGAGGGGGCTGCGAACGGATGGGGGCGAGAAAGTGGGTTGTTTACCAAATTATTGGGCCAGCCGCTGCGCCGCGAACAAGGCAGTTATTTGCACCGCAGAGCCGCGTATATAACGGAAACCTTTTGGCGAGCTTCTTGAATAGTTGTTAGTTTGAAATTTTGATGCTGACTTATACATGTTTAATCGCTTATTCTTTTTCCGTACACTGTTAAACCGTATTGGAAACACAGGCCCAGCAGCCAATCCCCGCTCTCCTCTGCAGCTCCCGCCTCTCCTAGTTTGGTCAGGCAGGCCTGCTGCGCTACAGCCCGAACACCTGTCGCAATTTGGCTGTATCAGGTGTTGCTCCAGGCGGGCCGTGCTGTTGGCGTTTGCTGGAGAAACCAGCGGCCGCAATAATTTCCGACTCCGCAGCGCAGCAGGGGTTGCAAACCCTGCTGCGAAAACACACCATAGAAGGCTCCGTGGCATTCCGGAAGTTTCCGGTCGCTTAGTATTTGACCCTGCGGGGTTGCAAACCGAGGAGAAGAGCTCGCCGTTTGTTTTCCTTCGCTTGACTGACGTCTGTCATCGTTTGTGGTTTTATGTCGCGCGTCCTCAGGCCGGGTGGGCGGTCTTCTAGGAAGTCAGGCCCCGGACTACACAAGGCCAGAAAGGCAAAAGGTAAAATTTTGTGAGCATTGTGTTTTGTATGTTGGGTAATCAAGACCCTTTGGGATACACCTCGCTGTGGAAGCTGTGCCAGCCTAGGCCTCTAATAAGTCGCCGAGCCATAACGTCAGTTTGATGAAAGTCGTCAAAAGTTTTATGATGAAATGCGTTTGATAGTGACGGCGCTGGCGTCCCCCTCGATATAGCTCCGCGACGGACCCGAAACTTTTAAAGTGAGGTGCAAAGCGGCGCGTCTGTCTGCCCCGTCCTGCTTATTTGCGAGGAAAGGAGCAGCGTCAGGAGCAGCGCGAGAAATTATCTCTTTACAAGGCGCTGGTGCGCCGTTAAAATTGAATTGCGGTATTAAACGTGACGGGGATGCATGAGGCGCGGCGCAGCGACCGGCATTAAAGGGGGACCAAGGCATATTTCAAGAACAAACATGAGTACTCTTTGCTACTTTCCATGGTCCTTATGACTCACTCTTAAAAAAGAGACGGGAGATGAACAGAAGCTTTGATGGGCAGCAATCACTGTCAGGTGTCGGCCCGTGACTGACTGTCGTCGTAAAGGACGCGTCGGCCGCCGACCGGCCCAAATGTCGGCCACCTCGATCCGACTGCGAGTGGAATGCGTTTATTAACGTTCCTGGAAGCGAGGATGATGTTATCAAGTCGATTATTCTTATTTTCGTTGCGTTTCGTCGCAGCCCTGATCCCGGAGCAGGCAGCGGGGTGTGCTACTTGGCCCATGAGCTCCTGCGACAGGGGCACGTTCGAGTGAGAGAGGCGCCCTAAGTGACCATTAGCGGGCGCATCCGTACAGTAGCACGACGCCTGGATTTATGCCCCTTGTAAAGCATTCTACCACTTTCGCGGCCTGGCGGCAGCAGCGACGCACACACGCGTACACTGCCGACAATGTCTCCCTGTGCGCCCGGCTATTGCCACTTATTTCACGCCGAGTCACTGCTCCGCTGTTGCGCAGCGAAGCCGCCTCGGCCCATCCACTCATGGGCCACCGAAGGGAGCTTAACATTTAACGCGTGAAATTGTTTCGAACTTGATCACGTATGAAGCAGTCAACGTTCTAACAATCATTTTTTCACCCGCCAGAAAATTATTTCTTTCAACCAAAGCCTTGAGAAAAAAAGGGAAATATTAAATATTTGGTGGGCCTTTTCCCTTTAAACAAAATAAACGCACTTTGCAGTGAGGGGGAATAATCCGGGTGCTTCTTAAGCAAAATTTATTTTTTGGAGTGTCAGGTTTTGCTTTTGAAAGTCCCGTATTGTTTTTTGGAATACTCTGTTGGGTTGTTCAATTTGCTGTAGAGCTGGACTAAGCAGAGAGAGAGAGAGAGAGTGAGAGGGGATATGTAGGTCGCTGCGTGGCCCTGGCGGGTCTGCAGGACCGTGATTATTTATCACGAGACCACTATCAAGTGCACCTGGCCGGGCCCGGGAATTACTTATATATTGGTCTATAGAGGACATTATTTTCGCAGAAAATTACCTCGTTTATAAAATGTTCATGCGGCGAGCTCATGAGTGCGAGGGAGAGAGTCGGAAGACGAGGGTGAAGGGGAGCAGGACAGAGAGGGAAGGAAGCAAGAGGGCGTGAATACTGGCAGGCTGTGGGGAGGAGGGGGAAGACTGGGAGGATCTGCGCCAGGGCCCAAGTTGGAGGTCCGGCGCATAATGGCGTGTTGAATATTAATTTCTCCCCGGGCCTGAATCGTTATGAAGGGTATCAAAATGTTATACATGCGCTGCGTCATAGCCGCGAATACGCTTGAGCCAATTACTGTCTTTATTATTGCAGGACGGTTCCTGAGGAGGAGGAGGATCATTATCTAGTGCCTATTCGGTGCTGGCATATTTGGCGTTTTTGCCCGGCTGGTGGGTATATGCCGCTGTGAGACCCCCTGCGCGAGCTGAGCGACAACTGCGGGCCAAGTAAGTGTATACCCGGACCAAGGGGCTATGGCTGCTACCCGTCCTGGCCCGCTCCTCGGCCATCATATCGTATCGCACGTGTGGAAACAATGTGAAAACCATACAGCTGCTTCCAAAACTAGCTGAATTATTTCCCCCTTGTATCGTCGTGCTCGCTCGGCGTAGGGGGTGGTATACGGGGCGCAAGCTGCGGTGCTCCGACAGACAGGCTGTCGTGGCGGCGG